CCCTCTCTCTCTGCCCCTTCCCCATTCATGCTCTGTCTCTCCCTCCCTCCCTCTCTCTCTCTCCCCCCCCTTAAATAAATAAACATTAAAAAAATTTTTTTTAATAAAAAGCACACTATAAACCTGTTATAAACACCACAACCCAAAACAAATGAATTATATAAAACTGTGGAAAATGGTTACTTCTGAATTGAGATGTTAGTGCAGTTTTTTTTCCTTTTGAGTTTTCTATAGAGAGCTCATAAGACTTTGACAATCCGGAAGACCTGACGGAGCCTGGGATTCAAGAGAAGTGGGATCCAATTTAGGTTTGGACACTAAACAGTTACAGGATCTTGGAAAGTCTACCTGGCATTTTTGAGTCTAATCAGAAAGGGTGTTGCAACACTGCTTGTCTCAGCCAGAGGGCTATTAGGCGACGCACAGGAGATGACTTATCTGAAAAGCACTTGGGAATTTGTAATACACATATTTAAATTGAGAAGAGGCCCAGAAAACTTGGTTAGAGGCCAAGAAGAAAAAAGATGTTAGGCAACGGCTTACAGAGAGTGAAAATTTCCATTTGGTTTTGGACCATCTTGGCAGCCTGTTACATCGTTACAACTACCAGCTTCCCCAGTCAAATTCCTACCCATCTATCAGTAAGAATGTTATTTAAGAATCCAGGGTTAGAGATACTCTCGTACAGAATCGCATCGATTCATTTCTCATAGGACACCGCAGGCAACCTAAAACTTTAGGATACAGAAGACATGATTTGTGGGTAAAAAGAAGAAAGGAAGCTAAATAGGGTCTCATGTATGCTAGAGAATACAAATGGCGCGTCTCACCTTGACAGTCTCATACCAAGAGGGCTGCTTGACTTGGTAATAGACCACTGACTTGTACTCGGAAATGCCTTCATATCCAGCACCAGGATGAATGGCTTTCTTTGGATGGAACGAAAAAAATGAAAAGGGGAGAATGTTTTCATTTTAATTCCGACAGAGTTAACATGGTGTTCTATTAGTTTCAGGTGCACAACACAGTGATTCAACACTTCTACACAATACTCAGTGCGCATGATACGTCACCTCTTAATCCCCATCACCTACGTCATCCATCCCCCACCCATATCCCTTCCGGTTTATTCTCTATGGTTAAGAAGGTGTCTCTTGGTTTGTCACTCTCCTTTTTTTCCCCCTTGGCTCGTTTGTTTTGTTTCCTAAATTCCACACATGAGTGAAATCATACGGTATTTGTCTTTCTCTCACTGACTTATTTTGCTTAGCATAATACTCTCTAGCTCCATCCATGTGGCTGCAAATGGCCAAGATCTCATTCTTTTTAATGGCTGAATGATACTCCGTCATATATATACGCCGTAGCGGGGCGCCTGGGTGGCTTGGTCGGTTAAGCGTTCGACTTCGGCTCAGGTCATGATCTCACGGTCCATGAGTTCGAGCCCCGCGTCGGGCTCTGTGCTGACAGCTCGGAGCCTGGAGCCTGCTTCGGATTCTGTGTCTCCCTCTCTCTCTGCCCCTCCCCCACTCATGCTCTGTCTCTCTCTGTCTCAAAAATAAATAAACGTTATATACGCCGTATCTTCTTCATCCATTCGTCAGTCAGCGGACCCTTGGGCCGTTTCTTTAATTTGGCTATTGTAAATAATGCTGCCATAAACACAGGGGTGCATACATCCCTTTGGATCCATGTTTTTGTATTTTGGGGGTAAATACTAAAGGGGGATAATTTTATCTAGGAAACGAACCACGCGGGAGCCCTCTATCCTCCGTGTGGCCAGCACACGCCTCATGTAGGCACATAGCAGCCGATGACATCTGGGGGCTGAAGGCTAGGGTAAGGATGAGTTTCTACCACTTTCTTTGAGGGTCTAGGTATATAACTGTGGTCGTCACTAAGGGACCCAACGCCATCCTAACACCGCTCTTTGCCGCGACGTTTATTGCCTTCTCCTCTGCAGGCATACCTTCTCCTTCCCTCCGCTCCCCTCCCAGGGAGCAGAGGCGCAGCGAGAGTGACTAAGAGCTACGGCACGGGTGCAGACACGCCGGTGTGTGAGGTCCTGTCTACGCTCCGCTTTAAGGACCTGCTGCCCGGCTACGGCGTGTTCACTACAACTCAGGGCTCTGTCTCCTAGGAATGAGCCACTCGGTTCAGCAGGGGCAGGCCTCAAAGGGGGCACTTTCTGAGCTGGTTAGCAAAGCTGTGAAGTGAGCAGTCAGGAGAAGCCGTGGAGGGGCGCCTGGGTGGCGCAGTCGGTTAAGCGGCCGACTT